GATAACATATTATTCTAGATCGGGTCGTACAACCTCGGCATAAATCGTGCGTGATAATGCTTGGAGTCCGATTACACTTGATATTATTTTTATGACTTGAGAAATTATAATTTACTTGATGGCCCGTAATTGTTGAAGTCAGTATATATCAGTTGGAGATTTTAAATTGACTTTTAGTTAAAGAATCACTTATTTACTGCTTGTTATTGTGTTACTATTATTACTGATATATTCTATGCCTATTTAGAATTTTCGTATTTTATTTATTGGCCCATAGTAAGTGCCTATGTTGACCCCCCGTCACTACTTCTTCGAGGTTAGACTGGATACTTACTGGGTACATGTTATTTATGTACTCACGCTACACTTCTGCACTAATCGTCCAGGATCTGAGGCATGTGCATCTGGCAATCATGCAGGCGCGTATCCCCGTTACCCCGATGCATAGTGGTGAGCTACTCTCTGTGTCCGTTCTGCATCACCCGCAGTCTCTCTTTTGTATTTATTTTATGGCTATCTTATTCCAGACAGTAGCATAGGTGGTTTGTATATTCTACTAGTTGTTCATACACTTGTGACACCGGGTTTTGGGAGTGTTCTAGTAGACACTTTATGGTTTGAGTATTTATTTTATTGTATTTACTCTCTCATTAGTTTATGTTTTACCTTACTATAATTTTCCACTACTCGTCTACTTAATAAATAAAAGTCAACTACTTTAAAATTATTAAAAAGAATAAATACATGATTAGTTCACCGTTGGCTTGCCTAGCAGCGACATTTGGCGCCATCACAACCTATAGGGAAAATTGGGTCGTGACATATATATTCCCCCTTTAACCAAAAAAAAAAAGGAAATGAATACTTCTAAAACTTGGGCGGAATAACTCAAAACCCATCTAAAGTTGGCACGGATTATTAATTACACCCCTAAACTATTTGTGGTCTTAATTGTTCCCTGAACTTGACTATTTGATAGCCATTACCCCTTGAACGTTGATGTTGCAAATAGTATAGATACTCTTTCTTTTAAGCACGTGGGAATGAAGAAAAATCGAATAATCTACTTTTAAATGGGTTACTTTTTAACTTTTAATTATCACATAATGATATGTAATGATTTATTTATTACAATAATTTTTTTCTTGCTTCATTTTAATATACAATGTGTACTTTACCTTACTTCTATTCTTTTTTAATTTTTGTACATATATAATGTCTATTTATTCTAACTGTGTATTTCTTCTTTTTCGGACAAAATTTGTGATAATTTTGGCTGGAACTCCATTATTTTAGCCAAATAAACTTCTAGCTAAAATAATAGAGTACTAATTGTGTATTTCTTGTCGTTTTTCTTTAGATATAATGGTTATTTATTTGAATCAGTGTTTCAAAAGGCCGTTTCGGGGCGAGCCCTGGGGAACCAAAAATGCCTCGAGGCGATGGTGTGGGGCGAAAGTCTCAAGAGGCGTACCCCCAGCAATTCGGGGCGTACGCCCGGATGTTCGGGGCATACGCCTGGCGTTCGGAGCGTACGCACGGGCGTTTGAGGTGCTTTTTTATAGTGAGGCGTAAGTCCCAAAGACTTTTTCAAATTAAAACAAAATTTGTTGAACAAGTCCTTTATATAATACCCAAATTCTCAAAAGTCGGCTTGTAATTACTCAAAAGTTTTATAAAAGAACTGAAACGTATTAAATTTAAAAGTCAAGATCTTTTTTATTGATTGAAGCCCTAATTCATGGTCTTTCCCAATTCTTTCTCTTGTCAGCTAGTCTGCTAATATCTCCCAAAAACAACAATTATTTAAAAAAAAATTACAAATACAAAGAGAACTTCATTCTCCTTCATAGCAGAAAGTTCAAAGTTCAAAATTGCAGGTTATTCATCCTTTTTGTTCCTCCATATAGAAAATTTTATTCTTTTCGACTCAAGTTACTTGTGCTTGTAAGTAGTGTGTAATAGATTGTTTTGACTAGTTTTTTGGGGGGATGGAGTATATATATATATATATATATATANTATATAGTTTTCTTCAATTTTTATGCAATTTTACATGTTTATAAATATTTATTGTAATTATATTATTTTATAAAATATTAAAATTAAATATCTATGGGGCTAAGCCCCATGTCTCGGGGGTTACGCCTCGCTAAGGCATATGTAAAATGCCTCACTTTACGCCAACGCCTTTTAAAAGACTAATTTGAATTGTGTATTTCTATTCCGAGTCAAATCAGTAAAAATTTTAACTACAACTCCATTATTTTTTACCACATAAAGAAGATATAGTCAAAATAATGAACTTGTAATTGTGTATTTTTTTTATTTTTTCTTTAGATGCAATAACTATTTTATTTTGATTGTGTGATTTTTTTTTTGGGCAAAATATTTGAAAAATACGCTTCGAGCTCTATAATTTTTAGCTAAATAATTTTTTTTGGCCAAAATAATAAAGTTTAAGCTATGTATTTTTATATCTTATCTTAGATGCCATAACTATTTATTTTAACTGTGTATTTTCTTTTTTCATGTCAAATCTAAAACAAATAAAAGTCATCATTTTTAGCTAAAATAAAGAAGTTCTAACCAAGTTTTATTATAAATTTTAATAGATAAAAACTATCTAAAAAAGTAATACATTTAAAAGGTAAAAAAGTATATTTTATTATTCAAAAAGGCCACATGGACAGGAAAAATCTATGTGGCAGTCGAGTGCATGCCACTTCCCTAGGATGAGACTGTCCAAGGGGATAACAATTATCGAATAACCTAGTTTAGGGGATAATTAAGACTACGAATAGTTCTAGGTTGTAACCAATAATATCGGCCAAGTTATGGGGGTTTTAAGGTATTTTGCCTTAAAACTTGTGGTATAAAACCAGTCAAAAAAATTTATGATTATAAATCATATAAAGTATGAAGTTTTAAGTTAAGAAAGTATGATTTTTTTTTTTTTTGACAAACTAAACACATAAATTAGAACAAAAGAAGCACATAATAAAAACGCATAATATATACGCATACGCCAAAATTGTATATATATCAAATCTTGGTTTCCAATTTTGGCAGGTTTTAATTAGATCAAGCTGAGGTTATATACCAAATTTTTAGTTTTCAATTTTGGCAGGTCTTAATATCAATCTATATTTTTTAAATTACATCCGGGTTGGGTTAAGGGGATACTACAGTAATGATGGGGTTTAAACCCTCAACATCAAGTGTCAAATGCAGGAATTTCACCAAGTAAGCCAACCCCGATCAATTTATATTATGTAATCCTTTGGGGTAAAAAACGAAGCTAAATCAAATATATATTTTGGTGGTACTCGTCGCTTAAACGCAACGTCGGAAAAAGAAAACGAAAAACAAACTTGGTATCTAACTTTGTAAATAAACAACATTCAACAGTCTCGCTTTATTCAGTGACTGTCGATTAAGATTCCAAAATACGAAAACGAAGGAAATCTTATTAAACTTCTTCTTTTTTTTTTTGGTTGGGGGGGG